GTCAAATATACTGTAAATTATTTTGTTTAGAAATACATGTGAATGCTCTTGTATACACAAAAGTTATTTTTAAGTAATTGTATTACTGTGATTATTCTTCTCCAAAAAAAATTAACGGACTAAAAAAATTTTGCACAGGACAGACAGAAAACTAGTTATGTCATTGCTTGTCAATTATTAGCATGAAATTGCTGTAGTTTTCTTAGACTTCAAAGCAGAAAGAAGAGTATTAGAATCTCGGTATTTAAATCATTGTTTTTATTTTATAATACAGTAGAACCTCCATTATCCGGACCTCCATTATCCGGATTTTCGATTATCCGGATTGTTGAAAATAAACAAAAATTTTACGAATTTGCTGATTTGCACTTGGCGAATTACGACACNTATAATTGTTCGTTTTTGATCAACAACCCTTTGTTCGGTGACAATGAGGTGAGGATATTGTTGTGTGAATATGTGGTGTACGAGGGCTGTTCGGAAAGTTTGCGGCCTCAAATAGAACAACAAACAAAATAATGTTAAAACTTTTTTATTTTTCAATATAGTCTCCTTTGTTAGCAATGCGCTTATTCCAGCGATGTTCTAGCTTTTTTATGCCATCACAATAGTTCGATTTGTCAAGGTGTGCAAAATACTCGTTAACTTCAGAGATGACTTCGTCATTTGAGTGGAATCTCTTTCCAGCCAAGAATTTTTTTAAGTTTGGAAAAGGTTGGAAGTCACTGGGGGCAAAATCAGGTGAGTACGGTGGATGTGTAACTAATTGGAAGTGAAGTTCGTTTATCTTTTGTTCAGTGATTCTGGCGGAATGTGCAGGTGGATTATCGTGGTGGAACAGAACCTTTTTCTTCCTCAAGTGTGGCCTCTTTTCTTTGAATTCTTTCTTCAGTTTTTTCAAAAGTTCACAGTAATAGACAGTATTAATGGTCTTTCCTCTTTCTAGGTAGTCAATAAAGATGATGCCTTTAGCATCCCAAAAAACTGAGGCCATCACTTTACCCGCTGATGGAACTGTCTTTGCCTTCTTTGGTGGTGGCAAACTGTGGTGTTTCCATTGCTTCAACTGTTCTTTTGTTTCAGGAGTGTAGTAATGGATCCACGTTTCGTCAGTAGTCACAAACCGACGCAAGAAATCCTGTGGGTTTTTCTGGTAGAAGTCC